TCAATTCCTTTTAATATATATATTTTTTGTTTTATTCTCAACATCAAAGGAGGAATTCATAAATTGTCAATCTAAAAAACACAATCACGAACATGGATTTATAAATGACATATATATTGACACATGACATGATACAAACATATAAATATAAGGAAAATAATATATAAGTCCACTTTTTAAATCTATATTCTAGATCAAGTGATGTATCAAAAAAATGATTGATTGATAATTAGAAAATAAATGAGAGGGAGAAATAATCTAAATATTTAACAAAGTGACATATTCTTGAATTTAGAAAATAAATCTAAATTTTAAATCTGAATAGCAATTCTTTAAATATAACAATTTTTTAAAAAAATATAAGACACCACAACAAGTGGGGATGCACAAAATATATTTGGGTTTGATGGGTATACCCATTTAACTTGTTTCTTTTAAATGGGTAAAGAACCCATTATTTTTTGGTTTTGTTTTGACTTGGTCCCTTCTCCTAAGAAGATGTCAAAGTTTGAGTTAGGATGTAATCGATTCAATATGGTTGGTATTTATGTAAAAATTATCATCAAATTGATAATGTCAATTCTATTATTTTGAGTACCGATACAGATCACTTCTCTCATCGAACTGCACCAGTTGAAACGGTTCCATTCGTCACGGTTTAATCGGTTTAGAACCTTTTAAACTTGAGCCACTTTTAGTATAATTACTAATTTATATAAAAATATTGAGTTAGTTATATGTCTATCGTTTCAAATATATCCAATCCATCCATTTAATAAATATTTTTCAATTCCTAGATTAACGAAAATACAAACAAATTTTTTTTTAAAAAAAATATTAAGGTTTCTAGAATAATGAGTCTGAGTTAAAATTATATATAATAAGAATTTACAATCTTAGGTTATAGAGATAATACGATTAATTAATTAAAATTAATAATTTATCATACTTATTAATATCATTAGATTATTAGATTATATATATTATAAATGTAGTATATGTTTTTTTGATCAGCAAGAAAAATCTTTATTGATGGAAGCATACAAAAGTGATACAATGCATCAATAAAGAGGAGCTTGGAGCTAACACGAAGCTCCAAGTGCCAGTTGGTGAGGAACACCAGCAAACCAGAAAACAAAAAGAAAAGAATACATAAAAACCAGCAGACAACACCAAATGGAATAATGCTGCAAAGACACAAACACCTCAAACACCCCAAAACTCCCACACAAAACTGCAAAGCATTCAGACTAATCTGGCGCAGACCATGAGCAGAGCATTCACCAAGAACACAACATTCACACAAACCAGCAGCACAGCACCAGCTCCCAAAGCAAAGCATTCAGACTAAGGCCTCGTTTGGGAACAGGCTAATTTAGTAACTTTTTGGCTAATTGGCTAAAAAGGTAGGTAAAAAAAATTTGTATGTTTGGGATGACTTTTTGACTAATTACGAAAAGCTGTGCAAAAAGTAGAAAGAAGCCGTAATTGTTGACTTTTTGGTATGACTAATTGGCTAGTTGGCTAATTTAGTAACTTTTTGGCTAATTGGCTAAAAAGGTAGCATCCCAAACGAGGCCTAAGCTCGCACAGTCTCAGACCAGCAGCACAGCACCAGCAAGAGAGCAACACAGAGTTGAATACACAGATACAGAACAACAACCAGATACAGAACACACAAATACAGAACTTCCTCCATAATTGACCCAGTCCAAACATCACAGTAAGGAGAAAAAAACCCAAACAACCAGAGCATACAGACTAATCTGGCACAGTCTCAGACCAGCAGCACAGCACCAGCAAGATAGCAACACAGAGTTGAACACACACATACAGAACAACACCAAGATCCAAAACACACAAATACAGAACATCCCCCATACTTAACCCAGTCCAAACATCACGGCAGCATCCAAACCAGTACAGCAAAGCAGCAACTAACCAATTAAATGCAGTATATGTTGAAGCGGTCAATTTCGTTTTAGTTCAGTGTACAAGGTATTTGAATCAATATTGAACCAAAAATAAAAAAAATCAAATTAAAAAATTGAACATGCCAATTCTTATTAAAAAAACAGACCAAATATGGCTGATTCAGTACGATTCAATCAGTTTAGTCGATTTTTTTGATTTTTCTTACCACCCTAATTCGACCTTTAGAGCCAATTTATGGAGCCTTAAGGGCTGCCAATTTGAAGGCTTTTTAGGTCTATTTTGGGCCACAAATCTTAGGCTTTAAGGAAAATAATATACAAGTCCACTTTTTAGATTCATTTTTCTTAATAAATTACTGGGTCTAAAATGTGAGTCTAATATTTAGGCTTGAATAGCAATACTCAAAGGTTAATTTGCTGAATTTCTGTGAGGCCTTTAGAGGCAAGATATTGGGCTAAATTTATCGGCCTGAAAGGTTTTTAAAATTCATAATCGTTTTACGTGCATATAATTTGATCACAAAATTAAAAACAACTCTCTTATATAAGATAAGATATAACTTATGTGAAAAAAATGTGTCCGATTTTATTATCAAATTTTGTGAACTTAATTTTTTTAAAAAGTTAGTGATTTTTTGAGACAGAACTTTTGAAGTTTTGAGCCATAAATTACGTTCATAATTGGGTCCTTGAGGCCTAATAGACATAATATTAGAAATACTTAAAATTTTACACACACAGAATATGAGTCCCACATGATATGATTGCATGGATCTCACACTTCATGTGAAAGGATGAGTACATTGTAATGTGCAAAATTTTAAGTATCATTATGCTGTGTTTCGTTGGGGGATTTGAGGAGGGATTTGGAAATAGAAAGGGAAAAAGTGTGTGAAACTAGGTGAAATGTAGGTATATTTTATTCACATTTCACCTAACTTTTTCCTTTCCCTTTCCAAATCCCTCCTCAAATTTTCCAACCAAACACAGCGTTAGGGTTATTATTGACAAGCTATTTAAGGGCATTTTACTAAATACATTTAAATTCAAATAAATCACTAACATTGGTATATGTAATAGTGATATCCTTCAACAGAGATTTTATTAAAGATAAATTCAAATAAAATCATCCACATCGGTATAAAATATGGATGTGAAAAACTCATATGTTCAGGTACAATCATACCAGTAGGCAACAAATCTAAATTCTTTGTAGTGCATTATCTATAGTGCTCCCTATAGTAGGCAAAACTTCACGAAACAAACCAACAAACAAGCAAGCAAAAGCTTTCCTTTGCACTTCCTCTTTCTAAGTCTCAAAATAATGTCATTTTAAGACACTACAAAAAAATATTACAGATAATTTACTACAGAAGATTCAGATTTATAAACAACTACTAGGAATGTGATATTTGTATAGTTGAATATCAATTTTGCTAAGAGTAAAACCCATTTATTCAAGTGCACTCACATTGGAATAAATGTACGAATGTGATAATGGTGTATTTGAATATGTACTTTATTGTTAGATGTGAAATGAAATGAGATTTCTGGCGATTTTATCAAGGTTATGTTATATATGCACGTAATGATATTTGAGTAATATATATGAATTGTACTGTGAGTGATATTATTATTTATTCAAGTAAACCTACACTAGTTCTGTTAGGTTTTTGTAATTGGCAATTGGTTATCATATTTGACAAAAAAAATTTTAATTGTAATTTTATTCGCTCTTTTGTTTTCAGTAAAGATATGAGTGTTTATATGTAAATCCAACTCGAATTGTGTCTATACAGAGGAGTTTGTGATCGTTATCTTTCGTTGAGTAGCTCGGTCAGCTCGTGGGGATCCAGGGGATAGCGCCCCATGGTAAGTCCAGGTGTAACGGCGCCATCACGTATGATGATTAGTACTTGATTAATTAAGATGATTTGAAATTTAATTGCTGAGTATTATAATTTAATTTGGGATTTATGAGAATTGTGGATCTGACTCGTATATGATTTTATTAAAGATTTATTTTGGAATTAGAAATTAAGGGTCAAAATGGTTTAAGGAAGTGAAATTAAGAAGTTGAGCCAATTTAATTTTAATTACGGACCCATTTGGGAGTTTAATTAAATATTTGATTCAGTTTAGTAAAATTGAGTTTCGATTAATTAGATCCGAATTGGAGAAAATTAAGTTAATTAAATTACGAGGATTGAGAATTGTGATTATTACGAATTAAATTTATTTATGGTGTGTCCAATTTGGATATGCAATTTATTGACGGAAATTTGAAGTTTGATTAGAAATTGAAGGCCTAAATGATTTGGGAAATCAAAATTGATAATGATAATAAATTTAATTTAATATTTGGAGCCTTTTGGGAGTCTGACTAAAATCTGATTCGGATTGATAAAATTAAAATAATTAATTGGGCTCTAATAGAAGTCAAATTAGACAAATTAAATTATGCGAGATTTATGATTGACTAATTTAATTATGTGCTAATTAAGATTTTTTAAGACCATAAATTGAATTATGGAACAATCTAGAATTGAAGGTGTATTTGGGTGTGGGTGTGCAAAGAAAATTCTGTGGGTGTGTGCATGTTAAGTGTTATGCTGGAAGTGCTATGGGAGTGCACGTGTGCACGTGTAATGAGGCCAAAAACAGGGGATGTGAGTAATATGTAAAAAGTGATTTTTTTTGGCTTTTAACAAAGTTTTTGGCTTTTTTAGACAAATGATTTAGGAAGTTGGTAAAAAGTGACTTTTGGCTTTTTTGATTAATATTTGTTTATGATGTCAAATCATAATCAAATGACCAAACTATCCCTATTTAGTTTAAAATATTACAACTTCACCCATGTATATTTTGACTCATGAGGGGTAAAATTGTAATTTCACCGTTGGCTAAAAACCAACTTCTCAAATAAAAAAAAAGACAAAAAAGTTAACTTTTAACTTTTGCTACAAACTAAAAAAAGTGGCTAAAAGCCAACTTCCCAAAATAGCCCAATGTGATGAAAGAGTCAATGAACTCAAAAAGAAAAAGAGATGAAAACCGAGGGAGAGAGAACAGCCGAGAGAGAGAGAGAGAGAGAGAGAGAACAGCTCAGAGAGAAATGAGTGTGTATCAATATTTAGTTGCTGGGAATCTAACTCAGGGGCCTAAGAAGAAGAAGGAACAAGGAGGGAAAAGCTAGGAAAGGTGTGGAATAAAAGGGGAAGTAGAGGAGAATCAATTAAAATGCTGAAATTAAAGTTTAAGGTATGGATTCATGCTTAATTTTTATAGAATCTTTATATTACACTTGAAATTAAAGATGAAATTGGACTCAAGATCATGTAATTAATAGAAATTAGCAAGAAGAGGAAGAAAATTGAAATTATGTTTAAAGATTATGGAGATAAATTTGGAAATTAATTAGTTAGAGTTTGATCTTTGTTATTCTTCATAAATTGAAACTCATCCTTGCATGCATGTTGGAATTTCAAGGTTTTTGATTTAATTTATATGTAAAAGATTTATAAGTTTAAATTTGGGTTAGATATGAAGAAAATTAATAGAAATCTAAATTAGAGTAATTCAAGAATTAAATTATGATTTGCTTGGGAAAGATATAAAATCAGTAGTTTTGATCCTAGTTTCATACATGCAAATATTCCTTTAAAAGAGTTTATATTTTCAATTTTATGATTTAAGGGGATGGAAAAGAGTTAGAAATCAATTTTATGGGATTAGAAGGAAATTGATAAGAAAATGATGAATTGGAGCTAAAATCAAGTTTATGAGAGTTAAGTTAGAAATTAATTATCTTTGGCTTGATTTTGTAGAATCATCATATAATACTTGAGATTTGAGATTAAATTCATGGAATTAGGATGCAATTGGGTTTTAAACATAAAATGAGCTACATGCATCATAAATTAAGAAAGCTATTTTAAGTAAGAAATTCAGTAGACTCATAGTTGTGGAAATTAATTTGTAAAATTAATTGTTTTGATTTGATTTTGTAGTATTTTCTTGTAATACATGAATTTTAAGGGGATTGAGCCATTTAAGTTCCTATTTTGAAGAGACAAAGGAAATGTTTTAAGAAAACCAAGTTTATGGAAATTTGGAATTAATCCTAAAGTTTTGATTTTATAATTACATTTTTATTTAATCCATGCATGTGATGTAATTTAAGAATTATATTCAATTTAGATACATTTTAGAACACCCATGATTAAAAATTAAGTTTTTGGTTAGAAATTGAGTTAAGTAGAATTTCTAAGAAATTGGTTTGTGTAATTCATAGTTAAGTTGATTTTGTTATTAATAATAAAATGGGATCTATTTGTATTACATACGTCATGAAATTTCAAGAGGTTGGAAAGTCTAATTTATATTTTAGAATTGTGGGTTGATGTAAAGAAGATGAGTTAAAACTAGATTTGGACCATTGGAGTATGATTTTGAATGAATGATTTCTAATTGAAAGTGTTTACTAAATTATCCAATTCGTTCTCCATTTTTGTGTACCAAAAATACATGTTTTGAGGCTTTGAATATCAAATTTGAACTTCAATTGCAATTCTGAAAATTTCATAATTTACGCTGTCCGTTCGAGCGAGGAAAGTCTCACTCGAGCATGAAAATCGAGCTCCCAGAAGTTTTTCAAATTTTATAGTCCGCTCGAGTGACCAAAGTGGCGCTCGAGAGGAGACTCCTTTTTTAGCATATTTTGGAAAGTTGCATTTAGTTCATATTTTTATTCTCATCTCTTTATAAAGCATTCTAGACGTGATTTATGACTCAATAAAGATTAATGAGCTACCAATCAACATAGATTAGTTAGTTAAAGAATGAATCATTGATCTAGTAGTAATTGTTTAAGAAGCCAAGTAAAGGATCAATCTATTTGGAAAGGAAGGACTTAGTAATGAAAGAATATGTAAAATAAGAACCCGATTTATTTACATGAGAAAGAATAAGCGTAGTAGAACTTCGGACTACTTAGACGGAAAAAGTCAAGTTTGATCAAAGAAGTAATATTGTATTTCAATGTGTATATGTTATGTGCTTGTGTAGGTCACGCGCTATTGCCTGCCTGATTGTGATCTGTGTGATCTGCTTCTACAACTGTCTGTGAGTAATAACTTTGTAAAGTTATGTTCAATGTTAAGTACTTTCTGAATATTATGATATGAAGTAATTAGTTCTCTGAAATGCTATGTTATGTTTGAAATGAATGAATGGTTGTCTAAGATTCCGAAAGTTATTCGTGGCATCCTTAGCATCATATGATATGCGTTCCTTTATGGGTCATCAGGTCCCTTTATCGGTCATCAGGTCCCTTCATGGGTCATCAGGTCCCTTTATGGGTCATCAGAAACGTCTCTGTGCACATGAGTCATCGGAATTCCTTTAAGGCCGTCCCTTTATGGGTCATCGGATTTGTTAACGCTAATGGATATACCACGTATGATTATATGCGAAATCTGAATATGGAAATGATTATGAATATATATATGAATCTGTTTCTGATTTAGAATCTGAATATGCGTAAGACTCTGTTTCTGATAAGAATTTGATTTCTAACTCTATGATGGACATCGTTCATTAAATCTTTTACTCTGTTATTATCATTCAGCCCCAGCTCATTGTTTATATATATGTATGTAGGTGATCAGGCGCATGACCAAGCTTAGAGGCGTCTTCCTGGAATCAGTCCTTGACAGCCAACCTATGTGCCTCCCGTGGAGGTTCCAGACATGACTAGTGGTTATGGCTAAGTGCATAAGTTAATGTTTTATTTTCCTGTCTAGCTAGACAAGTCCTTGTGTATTGTGTGGATAAGGCTAAGCCCCTTTTGTCTAGCTTATATATGTATATATATAATGATGTTTATATAGGTATATAAAAAGTTTAAAATTGTTCTGTCTCACATAAGTCTTCACAGCTCAATGGATGATGTATATTTGTTATTTGCTTCCGCTAGCCCCTAATATTATGTTAATTTGTCTTAGAGGCCTTCGGTAATCCCAGGATTACTGGCCGGTTACAATGGTAAGCCTATAGGGGCGGGTTTGGGTCGTGACACCAGGACAATGCCTACGCAGGGTCGAGGGGTAGCGCCTTCGAAGTCAAAGTTGGTTGACTACTTGAGCGATCATTTGTGCGCTTGAGAGGTGAACGACATCACTTAGTATTTTTGCAGAGGAGACTGAACTTCTAAGAGAATTCATTTTGCGCTCGAGCGGTGGATTCGTGGCTCAAGTGATGAGCACGCGTTATAATTAGTTCGCTCGAGCAATGAAGTGGTTGGTCGAACGGTGTTCGCGACTCTATTTTCTATAAAGTGTGTCGTTCGTTGTTCACTATTTTTAGTGTTTAAGCCGTGTAAATTCTAAGAGAGCAAAACTACTAAGATTTTCTATATTGGAGAGTATTTTTATAAGTGGTTCCTTGATGATTTGAGAGTGATCAATGGATCTATGAATTTCATATTAACATTATCAGGGGATTTGTATTGTTTTCTTTTATTCACAAAAGAGAGTGGTGTTCTTTGGTGGATTCTGAAGAACTTGGGCTTGAAGCTTTGGTGGATTCTAGAGTGGTTCATCATCGTGGATTCGACATTAGCGTTGTAGATTCAACGTTGGACAAGACAATTCCGAGGTGAAGACGGTGGTAGAAGAGACACATCGGGGTTGGTTTAATTCGGGCATGGATTTGCTAGGTAATTGATGATACACTTATGTAATTCTTTTATGTCTTCTTAATGGATTATTTTGTGACTTTGACCCATGATTTTATTTTTTTTAATCACAACAATATGGAATTGTGTTTGAACTTTCCACGATTTTAAGCAAATAAAAGTAAAATTCAATATGAGAGAAACATGCATATATCACCAGAATCGAAACCCTAGTTTATAAATGGCATATTTACCAATAAATCCTATCTCACAAACAGTTTTACCGATTGGTCCTAAGGTCATTTCTATTGTTCTGATTAGTCCTATTAGTGGGGAAATATCTTACCAGTTGATCCTATTTCCTTTGTTTAGTAACATTGAGTGGTCAATTATACCCTTCCGTGTGTGTGTCGCGTGACATACATCATTCTAAGGCAAAAGGCATAAAGAGCCTTAGTGTACTTTGTTGATGTGTGGCACCCATTGTGTGTGTCACGCGACACTTCAAGGCAAAAAGCATAAAAAGCCTTAGTGTACTTTGTTGATGTGTGTCACCCATTGTGTGTGTCACGCGACACTTCAAGGCAAAAAGCATAAAAAGCCTTAGTGTACTTTGTTGATGTGTGTCACCCATTGTGTGTGTCACGTGACACACCCTCATAAAGAGCCTTGGTGTACTTTGTTGATGTGTGGCACCCATTGTGTGTGTCGTGTGACATATTATGTGTGACACTCCAAGGCAAAAAGCATGAAGAGGCTTAGTGTACTTTGTTGATGTGTGACACCCACTGTGCGTGTCACGTGACATATTGTGTGTCACGTGACACACCCTCATAAAGAGCCTTGATGTACTTTGTTGATGTGTGGCACCCATTATGTGTGTCACGTGACATATTGTGTGTGGCACGTGACACACCCTCATATAGACCATGCATCTAATAACATCTAAATGAGAGCATTAAGGTCCCTCAAAGTATCCAAGGACTAAACGGTTTATTAGAAAAAAATTGGGACCAATTGGTTCATAAGTTTAACATTTGGGATTTATTGGTAATCTCCCTTTATAAATCTAATGGTTAACTACATACATTAACTACCAAAAAAAAAAAAATCCAAAAAATACATAAAACTTGAAAATTCAGATGATAAATCAAAGCTTTTAAATCGCTCAATAAATAAAAAAAATACAAAATTTATTTACCATATCAACAATAAAGCTAGATTAGAAGCTAAAAAAATTGTGAAAATTAATATGCATGAAAATTCTGAAACAACTCAACGAAATCGAAGCAATACAAGCTTAAATAAAAGAGAAAAAAAACCTAGGTTTGATGTAAAAATTGGAGCCTTGTTTATACAAGTCCAGAGTAGAGAGAGAACAATATGCTTGCTCGGAGATGCAATGTCGGCGGCGATACTGAACAATGAAAAGGGGCAACGATAGCGAGGAGTAGCAAGGGCAGAGAGGAGGAAGGAGTTATTGTGTGTGCGTGTTTTGAGAGAGAGAGAGAGAGAGAGAGAGAGAGAGAGAGGAAAACAACTAGACAAAATGTGGGAAAAAATTAGTAGCCTATTTTGTTTTTCATTGCCGCTTAATTTTCCCTTCAAAATTGGTGACAAAATTATTTCCTCGCCAAAAGAAAAAATTATTGACCACGAAAATAGTTTTCTCACTAAATGATATCAAATTATTAAAAATTATTGGTGACGAAAATATATTCGTCAGTAATAATTTTATAATTGGTAACCAATTTTTTCCTCATCAAAAGTCTCAAAATTTTGGCGCCACCCAAAAAAATTAGCAGGAAAATCTTCGGTGACAAAAAAATAAAAATAATGACGAAAAATAATTTCATCACCTAATTTTTTTATTATGTATGTAGATTGGTGACGAAATTTTATTTTTCTCTCTAAAAATGGTACAATTGGAGACAAAATATTATTTTCTTCATTAAAAGGTACATCTTTCGTGACAAAATTTATTTTCGTCATTAGTTTTTATCTCCAAAGTCTCTTTTTGTTGTAGTGGTTTAGGGCCAAAATGAACACAACCGTGAGAACCACAATGTGTTAGAAGATATTTTGTGTGAAATCTATTGTCTTTGCTTACACTAACGACTGAACAATTCAAGACATCGCATTCATTGATTAGCTAATAAATCCGATAGATTATTACTAGGGAAGGTTCAAAGCTGAAAGCTACCTATCCTGAGACAAGATATTTTCGATTTATACTCTTTTAACAAATTCTGTATATTGTTGCATTTCCATTATCATCAAACTCCATTCATGTGGAGGATTGTAAGAAATGGTTTTTTGGGGTGAAAAAAAAAAAGTTTTTTTCCTAAAACTTTGGTCTATTTTTTAAGTGGGACCTATGTGCCAAAGTTGGGGGTCTATGTGGCAATACGTTCTTTGCCATGTAATGATTTATGTCATATATTTGGTTGCTCAAAACTATTATCGTGTGAATGAGAAATCAATGCCAAATTGAGCTCCATACAAATGGTGTTTTTGTGAGGTTTCCATAAGGGATGGAGAAAAAGCTTGTCCCACATTGCTTAAGTGAGCAAACTTGGTGTGGGTTTATATATCTTGAGTTTGCATCTTGGAGAGGGCCCTAAGGGGTACCTAAGGTTTATGGAGGGGGAGGTTATGGGGAAAGTGGGCCTTGACCCATTGGACCCAAAAACTACCACACACGCGTGCCATAGTCGCCCGCTCGCCAACCAGCTTGGACCGGGCCTGGGCTTGGGTGCGAGGTGTGAGGTTGGGTTAGGCTTGTGTAGTTCAATGCTTATCTTTTTTGGATAAAAAAAATTTGAATTTTATTTTTCTAAAATTAAATTCTTACCATTTGGAAATTGAATTTCGGTTTGAAATTCAAAACAAATTATGAAATGACCCCAACATTTCTGAACGTTGACAGTTTAGTCCAATGCATCATTTCCTCCAACCCAAACAGGTTCTTTACCTATTTAAAACCAATCCGAACAGTTTTTTTACCTGTTCAAATCTGTCCTGAACACCCACCAAGTCTCCTATAAATAGACAGGTCCTCCATTTGGTTTTTCATTCAATTTTTATTCTTCCTTTTGCTTTTGTTTTCTGTATTTTGCTGCATAACTTTTCTATAAGAAAGAATATAAACATGAAGTGTGTTCATTGGACATTTAGTTTGTAGTGCTGCTACTAATTGATGTCAATCATTTTATCTTGGGAGATAGATGTCCACATTCTACAAGTATCGTGGAGAAGACGAATCTGTTTTAAGGAGACAGTGTTAAACACTGAATTTGATTGAATTTCCGGAGAAGTAATATTGTAAGTTTGTCTGTGATTTTCATTTTAGGTTTCAAATATTTTTTTTTTTTGAGATTATGTTTTGTTTTGTGTAACAAAATAAAAATATGTTTTTCCATATTTTATTATTCTATGTTCTGTTTTGATTTAAGTAATCAAATAGATTTTCTTTTTCCTTAATCAATTCTTCAAATACAGTGAATACAGTGAAAATTGTCTAATATCACTTTCTTAGAACTGCTATTGCTTCCGAATTGTAAAAAAATGCATTTCACTATCGTGTATCTTCTTTAATCCAAAAAAGTTTCAAATGGGTTTTTTCACACATACATAAGTAAAATTTCTCACTCCAACTTAAACTTTCTAACAAATATCTGGTCTGTCAGGACACCAAAGGCAAATCAAAATTGACTCATCTTCAATTCATGAGCTTTAGGATTGTATTCTTCAAACCAAGCTTTCAATATGGCATTGACTTGTACAAGCAAACTAGTTCTAGGCTCGTTTAGTTTCACTGTGTTTTGGGTTCTAGCAGTTTTTCCAGCAGTCTCGTTCCTCCCCATAGGCCGAACCGCAGGCTCGCTCCTCGGAGCCACACTCATGGTCAACTTCAAAGCCCTAACTCCAAACCAAGCCTTCGCCATCATTGACCTCCCAATCCTCGGCCTCCTTTTCGGTACCATGGTTGTCAGTGTCTACCTCGAACAAGCCGACATGTTCAAATACTTAGGAAAGTTACTCTCATGGAAATCTCAAGGCCCCAAGGACTTGCTCTGTCGTGTCTGCCTTGTTTCAGCGATTTCGAGCTCTCTGTTCACAAACGACATGACTTGTGTCATTTTGACAGAGTTGATGCTCAATATCCCGAAGCAAAACAATGTCAAATCCCATCCTTTTTTGCTGGCCTTGGCGTCGAGTGCTAATATCGGTTCTGCTGCAACTCTGATTGGG